TGTCTTGTACACAAAATTTGAGGTAATCCTTAATCACACAAAATCATACAATTTCTTTTAAAGCTTTTGTAAAATGAGAGAAGAGAGAGAGAGAACCATGTCATCCGTTTGTACAGACAAAATCCATTGCTTAAGAATATTAGTATCATTCTTAATATACACTTCTTACTGCTTGTGCAGCAAACACAAAAAAAGTAGCACAAAGATATTCTATTGCATAGAAAAATTGCAAAGATAAATGTCCTCTACAAAATATGCTTCCTACATCTAGCAGTGGTAAAGCATGGCAGTTGACCTAGGTACAAATGTCTTGGAGGTGCAAAAAGTCTAAAGAAAACAACAACATAGTAATGATAAATAAACAATAATGAAACCACCTCTCACAAAGGAAAGCTCCCATTGTTCAAACATTTAACAGATTTTCAACATGACAGGGTAAATAAATATTACATGGCAATACAGTTAACAGAGATTTCAAAGTAGATATCAAAACTGTTATTGAAATAAATGCACAAATTCAAAACCAAGCAGTTTTAAATAAATTTGAGGATAATGGCACTAAATGCATTTCACTTTAATCATATTGCTATCCTCTTAAGATGAAACATGTTCATAAGGGTAAGGGTTTTAATACTGGACTTCGAAAGTGTCAGGGGATGCAATACTTGCCTCTGTCCAGGCACTGGCAACCAACACTGCGCCACTGACACTGTTAATAATATCAGCCAAAAGTAACTTGTGCACACTAATGTATATACATTATGTGTGGAAATGTATTCACATGGCTCTGCATGTGCATACTGTATATGTTTGCATCTGTATGCACAGACAAGTGCATATATGTATACTTGCACATGAGCAAATACATAATAAACAACTCCTCTGATAACAAGCTTCCATGTTTTTGTATTGAGTAAAGGCACTGTCCTATACTCATCTAGCTAGAGGGAATTTTCTTTTCAGGTAAAGATCCACTGATCACTCACTGACTGGGAAACAGCTGAGCATACTGAAATGTAGTCTTATTTCATAGATATTTAACAAAGTTACCATTTGGGACTGCTGCAACCCAAACTCCTTGAAAAAATCTGAAGTTATACTCTACCACTGGGCCACAATGCTTGTTGTACTGAAGACTGCAAGGGTATGGTATAATCACGACAAACTTCACTTCAATTATTCAACAAGGTTACTCATTAAGTACATGACAACACAACAATACTGTCTTTTATATCGTCTCATAAAAACATCTAATAACTGTTTGTAAAAGCACATCATCAGAATAGTATGAAGAACAACATGATGTTTTCTTTTAGAGATTTTCACACAATATCAACATTTACACATTATCTTATTAAGACACAATCAACTTTTCTAACTGGGAAACTGGGTTGATCTACGGGTTCCACAACTTTTTAATTTGTCCACGGCCTTTATCTGATTACATCCATAATGACACACACATCAAGATAAGAACATGCACATACATAACAGCTTGTAGCTATAATTGTGATCATATACATATGAAGACATATTAAAAAAAAGAAACAAAACAATATTCATAAATAATGGTATAAAGTGACTTAATTCATTTTGAGTAATATCATTTTAGAAATAATGCATTATATCAAAACCGAACTTGTGTTTAGTAATCACTTTCCCTCTTTGCATTTCAAGTAAACAATTAGTGTTTCTTCACCTCTGTTCCTTTTCCTTTTCATTTCTGCTTCTGATTCTAACTCGGACCTTAATTCCTTCCTAATTTTCTTCAAGCCTAAACTGCATTCTCAAATTTACCAATTTGACTACCAATCCTAACCTATCCTAACCCAGCCACACTGTTTTTGTTACCAATTCTTTCACTTGTAATGGAACTCTGAATACTATGAAAGAAAACAGGAAAAATCATGCACCCACCATTTTGATTTGAAAATGGTACACTTTATTTCCCTTTTGCAAAAAGCAAGTCTTAGCTGGACTAAACTATTGGACCACAACCTACAAGAAACATATTTCTAGATTTCTAAATGTCTACACTACTCATCACATTTAACTTCAATATAAAATATTTTCTACATACAAAATTAGCATCTCTATCCTGCAACAAAATACATACATCCTTATCAGCATCCATTTCTACTGATTGTCAAGTGAACATCTACAGACACCCTTACAAGAGATTGCTGCACACTATGCTCTGCCATACAAAAGCCAGGACTCCTTTGTGAAGCCGATGTGAGTCTCATCTCAACGACAACTCAGAAAAAGTAAACACTCAATATGAACTCCAACTAGTGAGCCAGTGATTTCAGTTATCTGTTGTCTCAACAACTGGAGATAATGAGCCTATGATTAATGAGCCTATAGCCATTATTCTTTGTTAAGCCTCCATTCTCTTCCAATTTTAGGATGATTGGAGATGAGCTTTGATGTAATGCTGGGAGAAATCTGCCCCTGGTATTTAAGGACAAACTGTGAAACATTTCCCCTTAATGACCTCAATACAAAAAATATAATGTTAATGATACATACATGACAGCTTGGCATGAAAATGAATAAGCAATATGTTAGTATCCAGCATGTTAATGTACAAAAGGCAGCAATCCGAGTGTACCTTTGTAATAATGCACAATATGTAAATCATACGTTCATATTGCTGTATTATTTCTCATCTCAAATGCAACCTTTCACAAGTAGCCAGCCACTAGCAGCCCTAATTCAAAGTATTTATCATTTCTAAAAATAAATATTCACGAATCATATGGGAAGTAACTGCAGATACACTCAAATTATATTGGTAACCTTTCTAGTCTATTTTTATTCTTTTACACAATGCATGTGACTGCATATTTCAATGATTATTCAATCATCAAAAAAAATATATAGGTCATATACAGCATATCACAAATATACTTAGATTGTCCTGCAAAGAGTTACTAAAAAGACACGCTCCCTTGCTACAACATTCTCTGTACAAAAATTATCAAAGTATAAAAATCTTTCTCTGGCTTTTTTTTCTTTCTGATCAACAGAATCTACCACATACCATAATCCTATTGCATTTATAATTCTAGTGTGTTACTGTTACATTGCATCTTGTTATTTTGCGTCTGAATTCACAAACAACCCAATTTTGAAATTAATATTCCTCATAAAAAGAGCTGGTCATAATCACAAATGTTTCTTTAACATATATTATTTTATGACTAACTGATGGAACTGCATGGAGTTTTGAACAATCAGTTTCCGCAAGGGTAATATAATGCCCAATGCCAAAAGAAAAGAAAATGAAAAGGGACTGAAGATCTACCTAGACTCAGTAAAGAGGTTTTCCCTGCATTCATTAAGAACAAAGATTATTACCAAATGTGTGACATTCTAGCTGCCTATAAAGCTGACCCTCCACAAGACCTGCCTTCCCCTTCCTCCTTGCAACTCTGCACACCCAGCTTACTGAAGAAAGTTCACAGTGTTACCAGAAACAAGTGCTAAGCTCCTATTCAAGGTGATCAGCAAGGTTAAACTTAAGCAAGCATCTTTGCATTCATGTACTTGGAAATTATGCATCACATGCAAATAATGCCATATATGATTTATGCTGAAGCACAATTTATAGGCTTATCAATACATATTGAACCTTAACAGAAAGAGACCTGATATGAAAAAATATGATCCCAATCAAAATCCAATTGATAAATCATTAAAAAAGCTACATATTGAATGGAAGTTAGATTTCCTATTGCATTACACCTACATAATGGGCATCATATATATGTATAGTTCCACATAAATACAAAACTGTTTCTTTTTTTTTTTTTCCTAACTATTAAAAGGGCAATGCTAAAACAGCCTAAACAAAACACTGGTTTTATACAATAAGAGGCAACTAACCCTGCAATATATACTCACAGTCACCAGCACCGTAATCTGCATTCTTCTCCCAATACATATATAGAGAGAACAAAATCATGTTGGTTTGAACCATCTATTCATATCAAGGGAATTTACCAAGATTCAAATTGCAACCAACAGTCATGGAAGAATTATTTTACATGTTACACCCTGTAAAGGAAAAAAAAAGAACAAAAAAGGGGATAAAGGATAGGCTTGGGAAGAAAAAGAAATTACTATCCTTCCTTTCAATCATCTTTCTCTTGCAATGCTGTGAATGCTACGTAGCACTTCACCTCATCCTTCTTTGTTTGTGCCATAGTCTTCATATTCATAATCATCGTCATAGTCCTCGCCATTGTCCCCTGTATCATCTTCCTCATCTTCATCGCCTTCCTCATCTTCTTCATCAAGGAGAAAGTCTGAGAGGAAATCTCGGAGCTCCTGTGCTGCCTGAAGTCGTCCTCCAGGTGCTGCCTCCTCTACACACTCTGCAAGAAGCTCCTCCACTGTTGCCCTGTCTGCAGCAGGGATGTTGTGCAGTAAACCTGATACACAAAGGATTGAATCAGAACAGAACTTTATCAAAAACTTCTTCAAATATTAACTTTTGTTTCACTGGAATGAAAGAAAAAAATAGTTAATATCTTTCAGCATACTTTTTTATTTTCATCTGATTTCATCACTTTCATTACCCCTTGTCATCCTTGGTTGTTGATGATTGCCAGTAGTGGAGCTGAAGTAATCCACATATTTGTGTTGCTTCATGTCACTTAGGATCATTGCACACACAGCAGCATACATGAGGTGTCCCACATCCTCTACACGTGAGCACATCTCATCTGTATCATGCCCTTCCCTGTATATTTCACTTGTAAACTTCTGGAAACACTCCTTGTTGCAAACTTCATGATTCTGGGCTTCTCTTGTATCTTCATAATCATCTACAGGAATAAAAATAAAATCCTCAATTACCTATTAACTGTTTACAGCCCAATGAACCCAATCATGAGTCCAATTATAAAGCAAAATGAAGCAAATAATCAACACTCTCAACATACCTCTAAAGAGAGATTTGTCAATTATTGCCATGTTAGCCAGATCTATTA